TCATACAAGCCTACACATTGCCACAGTCAAGCAAGAAGCAAATTTGATTTCCAGTTTTAATATGCAGATTTTCCAAAAATTAAATCCTCAAAAACAGAAAATCCAATGAATAAAAATCAATTTATTGGCAAGCCCCAATGAATGAGCCCTTTTTATGTCTGCCTTGTTAAAGACTATGTTGGTGTAAATAACATTTGTCAATAACGCATAATTACCTAGCGATATTTTCAAATTTCCAGTGAACTTTAAAAAAAATGTATTCAAAAAAATAGTAAGCCATTGGATGACAGCCCTACCATGGAGCTTAGCAGGTTTTCTGGGGGGAAACTCTGCCAACCCAATCCATTTCTAAAACAAATGTAGTGAAAGATTGAAGGACTGTGGAAAATGTTAAGTAGGACCAATTTGAAACCGTTTGGAAAACTGCCACCGTCTCCATCCTCCTTCTGAGCTCACCATTTACAAGCTCAATAACAAGCTCAATGAGTGAAAGGAGAGCAAACGATGTGTAAATTACCAGATCTCTGTCTCATGGCAAAGACATTAAATACGTTAATCAGAGAAGCTCAACCGTCACAAAACACCTGGGAGTTTGCTGCCAACCCCTACAGATACAATCAAAACAACAACAGCCATCTAACGTCTACACGCGCTGGTCTTTGTAAAATCCCACAGGGCTGGTGGTGCCTGTATCCTAAATCAATTTTTAAAAGAACAAAAAAACACTACACACTCTACAGGAACACCCGTCAGCCTTTTCACCCTTTAAACCCCAAATTGTGATGAAATATGTTTTTTTCCTCTGACAAAAAATTCTAAAATAAAATTCATTAAAACTTTGAACCAAAAAATTTATGCAGTTAATTGCCTAAAGCACTGAGCAGCTGTTTTCAATTTGTATAGTGCCATTTATGAAAAAAATATCATATTCTATAAATTAGAATGCTTTTAAAACATTTATTTAAATACACACATCAAAGTTTTCAATTAAGATGAGTTTCTGTAACATCTAATGAACACAACATTTTAGCTCATATCAGAACTAAAAGAAATTCTTATTGCAAAAATTTATTTTTGCATTTAAAATGAGAACTACCTGCTTAAAGGTTATTTCAAAAAGGTACTTTTAATCTAACTGATTATGTGTATCCAGATATTCTAATTTACTGAAAATGACTGCATAAATCAAAAAATGAAAAGACAGATGCATACTGTAAGTTTTCCTAATGATTATTTTGATCATACTTTTCTCACTTAGTTTATTGAAAATTTTATTGTTGATTGCAACATTGGAAGGCAGCATAGTGGTGCAGTTAGTAGCACTGTTGCCTTGCAGCAAGAAGGTCCTGGGTTCGATTCCCGACCTGGGGTCTTTCTGCACAGAGTTTTCATGATTTCCCTGTGCATGCATGGGTTCTCTCCGGGTAATCCGGCTTTTGAACATGACTGTTCAAAATTCTCCATATGTGTGTGTTTGCATGGTTGTTTGTCCTGTCTGTCTCTAAGTTGCCCTGCGACAAACTGGCGTCCTGTCCGGGAACATAGCTGGAGATAGGCACCGGCAACTCCCGACCCCATTACGGAGAAGGGTGAACAGAAAATGGATGGACGGATGCAGCATTTGATTAGTTGTTCAGCTCACTCACCCAAGTTTTACAGAGCTTGTTTGTTTTGATGTGATCTTGTTTATACATCTTACAGAATAAAATTAATCAGGGTATTATCTGTTTCAGCCTCTGCTATTCAGATCCAGGGGTTGCATGCATGAGCAGAAACTGTAAGCCTTCACCACTCAGCATCAGAAACCCCTGAATTGTTATTTTCATCTCTGCTTCATTACATATTTTATTTTAAAAAGCAAAACCCTACACTTCAGTGAGTTCCAAAATTGTATTATATTCTCTGATATACCCAATACCTTCTATTGGGATGCAGTGAGTTTTGGAATTTCATGTTATTTAAACATTTATCATTTATTAGAATAACTGACAAGTTTTAAAACAAATTCACATAATGCAGGCTATTATATCTAGTAGTAAAATCAGCAGTTTTTCAACCTGCCTGAAGTCCAGGTATCGCTGGACTATATGTTATAGTCCTCCAGAACTGAACATGAAAGAAACTTTGTTCACCAAAAGAAAATTGGTAACATATGCTGGAAGCGTGGCAGGTCCTTTCGTGAGGTAAGTATGTAAAGTATGAGGCTGTTTCAGATGAAAACATACTCAGTAGTTTAAGAATAGGATTAATGCAGAATGTAGTCAAATATGAACATGTGTCAGCAGAATTTGGTTAAACATTCTTATCTGAGGGATCTGTAAAAGCAGAATGAATTATTTTTTTGTAAAATGTTGCAGAGCGAGTGTGGGTTGAAGCTGATGACTTCCAACAGAACTGGCTGCATGGCTGACACCAACATCCATTATATGTAATTCAACTGTAACCACTGATGACAATTTTCAGAAATTTTAGGCCCGTCTAAAAGTGCAGTACAATGATTGGCGGAAAAAATAAAACCACATTTCCTCTCATGGTTCATATTTCTAACTGTGGTGGATGGAAACTTGTGGGCAGCAGTGTGGGTTACACACCCAAAACCGGGAGAGGGCTTCATGGAGATCTAAAACTGATGTTTCCCAGTGATGGTGGGGGTTGGGAAGGAGGAAGGAGCAATTAACACAGCTTTTAAATGAATAAGATAGTAATCAGAATTTCAAATGCAATATCTTTCAAAACCTACATTAGCAGTCATAGCCCTTTAACGCTTCACATTTTGTCACGTTACACCCACATTCATTCCTCCATTAGTTTTATCTGGATTTTATGTGTTAGACTAGCAGGAAGTGGTAGATAACTTTCACTGGTTAACAGTCATGTGTCTGGATTGATTGAGAAAGCTGACAAATGTAGACAGAACCCTTGCGTACATATGAAGAGCATAAAAGCTCCATGCAGAAAGAAGCGAAGCTGGGATTCTAACACGGGACGTCCTCACTGCAATACAAATAAAATTCTAAAAATTGAAACTGTAGAACCAAGATGATCTTCTCACCACAACACTTCACAAATGAAGATGATGTGCTTAGGATGATGCACACTTTTGCCACAGTTTTTGCTGGTGGACCAGCAAAAACTGTGCTCTCATTTAACTTTCTTCCATTTGTTTGCTCCCTGCTTCAGCTTGTGACAAACTGGGCAGCTTGAGACAGGAGAACTCTGTAGCTCCTCCAGACCCAACTCAGTTTAGCCATGCATTTGTAAGTTTGCAGTGGTCCCATATTCTTCCCATTTTCAGACGATGGACTGAACAGTGAGTCGTTCAAAGTTTGGTTTAAATTTCTCAAGAACTGCATTTCTAACCCACCTGCTGTGTTCCTTGGTTTTAACCAGGGAGAATTCCTACAACCTATGAGAGCTTAAACATATGTATTCTTCCTACAATTAAATTATGCTCAAGTTGACTATTTCTAAACACTTGACTTCTGATGGCATTATTTTACATTGGACATTTAGTGCTTTTGGCATAAATGGGTCCTAAATGAAAATAAGCATAAAATTTTTTGGATATTCAGTTGTAAAATGTTTTAAAAAGCCTTTATCTTTTATTTTAGATCATCTCTCAAATTACTTCAAAACTATGCACTATTTTGTTCTGGCCTCTCAGAAGAGATTTGGGTAAACTTTATAAGAATCATGGTTTTTATGGCCCTGAATATCAGAATGAGGTCATAGTCACATCTCCAGTACATGTGATGTCCAAAGCTTAGGGCAACACCATTCTGTTTTGCAATAACATGAGTCTTTCTGTAAGTTCAATAATGAAAACCAAATGTCTTTAGGAAAACCCTTCACTTGTTAAAACACCAGCAGGGAGAAAGGGAGGGAAAAAAAGTATTTCAGATTATGCAATAGGAACAGCTGTTAAATAAAAACACATGAAAATAAATTTAGTGCATGTGTTTCATCTGTCATGAAAGTGAGACATGTGCTGTTTTCTTTCATTAGTGGGATGCCAGTGCAACAAAGCTTGAAGGAAAACTCTAGAGCAAACAATCATGAGAACTGAGACACTGCTGAGCTGCAATCAGTTCCCACATAGACATGTACTTATTTGATCAGCCATCCTTCCACATCCAAATATTTAGTCATCCTGCTGCTCAGGCTCTGTCAGACTGTTATGATGGATCCACAGGCACATGTTCACTGTAAACATAAGCAGCTTGCTGCTACACTGGACCCCTGCGTGGTGCTTTGGCACTGAATGGAAATGTTCAATCAATATAATCCACTTAACAAGGCTAGGCGCAGATTACTTCAAGGTTAAACAACCTCCTGTATGCTGAATGAATTGCCTCTGATGCGTCCATTTGCGCACTTATTAAAACATGTTACATTTAAGGCGCCGTCTGAGCGCTTTAATGGGAGGATGTGCTCCATAACCGTTTATCCCAAGACATATCCTGGACCCCCTGCTAACGGGAAGCAGGTGGACTTATCTGCGTCCAAGTGGCCACTTCAGAGTCTCCGCGTATACGTACAAAAGCACGGATGCGCATTAATGTGCAGGAAAGGGAGGTTGTGCGAAAACACAAAGACAATACGACGGACTTCTGATGCCGGTAAAGTCGTTAGCCCAGAAAGAAGTTCTATCTAAGGATGTTTTACAGGAATTCTTCAGTGACCCACTCGGTGCCACGGTGCCAAAGTTCTCCACTTCCCGATGACGCACAGCAGCGCATTGAGATGAAGGTTAAGGGTCCCCACGGAGTCTTAACAAGTGGACAGTAAATCACGGCGGTTTTTTTATTTTAAACTTCGATTATTTATGGAATATCCAAATAGTCTTCCAGTTCTGTTTTAACTCCTCACCTCCCCCAAAAAAAGACAGCACAGCATGGAAACTTTTGACTCGATAAGTCAAATTAGATCAACAAATTAGATACACAACATCAAGCGTCATTTTAAACCAAAAGCATAACGGTGTTTCCACTCTCACTCACCTGAAGCTGCGAGTCCAAACAGGACGGCGATAATATAGAGCCCCTTTACGCACATTTGGTCGGAAAGTCTACTAAGCAGTGGGGGAGAAGAGTCAACAAACCCCAGCCTAGTCAACCTTCTTCCACAGACTGACTGACTCACAGACAACAAAACCGAGCGGCAAAAATCTACGGATGCCCCTTGAGGAGAGGAAAAAAAGAGGGGGAAAAAATGGGAAAAGTCCTCAATTTCAGCTCTCCTGTCCAAAGACGCTTCCTGGCTCGTCTTCTGCCCTCAAAGACTTGACTTCTAGTGTCCTCCCTCCCACCATAATTTCGGGCGGAGTGAAAAAAAAAAAAAAAAAAAAAAAGGAAGAGGAACAAGATTTGAAGGCATTTTTTCGAGGCTTACATTGATTTCTCATCAGACCAGTTCTGCTGCTTCGGGAACGCATGCCTGCTGTCATGCAAACAAACCATGAGCTGGAAAATCTAATCAGTCTCAAACATGTAATGGAAACAATTACAGAGCTTAAGTTCCAATCACTAAAGATAAATTCATATACATGTTAAATAATTTCATTCTAAACCAAACCTACTGTAACACATCAATGGCTATAATAGTAAAACTTGTTTTTATAGAAAATATGTTTTATGCCATTATTTTTAAAACATTCTTTCATGCTTTTTCCATAATATTAATTATTGATGTCACCTTAATCATCTACTTGAAAGTTTGTTTGTTCTTATGACATCTCTTCCCCATAAATGTAAAGTCAGACATTAATGCTGACGTTTTAAATAAGTCTGGAACCTTAGCCTACTTTTTTTTAGAAATTAACTTTAATAATGACGTTTGACATCCCTTCACTGATGCTTAAATAAAAATAAAGAAACTTTAATCTGTTTAATTGAGAAGCAAAGAAAAAGTGCAAGAAAACAAAAACTAAATGTGATTTTTTTTAAATTACAAATAAACAAAAACAAATCATTTACTTGTTGGCGTGTTATTGAATCGCCCAGTTTTTGTTTTATGTAGCACTTTAATGTGCGAGGGTGAGGCACTCCGATTTATTTTTTATTCAACAAAAAAGAAGTGAAATAATATTTAGTCTTTGTCACAACTTATTTTGAAAATCATCACTTGGCATCGTTTAGCCACACGGGGGCAGAGAAGCACCACAACATCCACTAACTTTCAAATGTGCCCATGCTTTTACTGTTGGAGTTTAAATACTCTAAAAAATGTTAAAAATCCTCTCTGTCTGAAGTTAAATCAGAAATTTCTCTTATTTGAATGAAATGAACTATGATTATTGCCATTTTAATTAAAGGATAGGTCAGCTATTTATTTACTAAGCTCTTTAAGAGCAGATTGGGAAAGTCCAGACAATTATGTCATGACTTTAGTGACCGCTGAGAGATTAAATGACACATTTGAGGTAATTGGAGTTACACCTGTAGATGTGTTTTAAGACCACACCTGGATCTGTCATGGAGGGTGCAGGAATGGGAGTAGGACCGAAGTGCAGACAGGAGAACGGAATGTCCATGAGCCATGGTTTTGTTAAGTAAGTCCAAAAATACTTACAAAAACTGGAAATGCAGAATATGTGACCAAGTGTTTCAAATCCTGGTCCTCAAGACACACCGCCTTACTTGTTTTATAGTCATCTCCCTGCTTCAAGCATTCATAATTTCAACTGATGACTGAATAACAGGCTTTTGTGGAACTGCAATCATCTGAATCAGGTGTCTTAAATCAGGGAAACATGTAAAACATGGATCGCAGCAAGTCTTGAGTTCCAGGTTTGAGAAACACTGAGCAACAGTGGCTTGGAACCAGTGACAAGCAATGAGTCCAGGAGGCAGATACACAGAGTCAGAGAGAAACTGACTGCAGCCGAGAAGGTAGCGAGTGGGACTAGATGAAGACTAGAAAAAGAGTAAATAGCAAAGGGACTGTCCAACAATCACATCACTCAAGAAGAATATATGATAATCCTGGTTCTTTGTCACAACACTCAAGAAGAATATACGGTAATCCTGGTTCTTTGTCACACCACTCAAAAAGAATATATGGTAATCCTGGTTCTTTGTCTCACAGATGAAAGCTTTTTGTTTCCAAAATGTACAGATAGACCCCAGAACAAAAGCCAAAGACCTTGTAAAGATGCTGCTTTCAAGGGTCATTGTCACAGTAAAATGTGCCTTGAACAGACATGAGCTGAAAGCCATTAATAAAAAAAAAAAAAAAAACACAAAAAGCTATAACGACCATCATCACATTTGAATAAAAAAGGGGAACACTTGTAGACCTGGGAAGACCATGTCAGCTGTGAAGTATGGAGGTGGCCTCATTTTGTTTTGCTGCCAGAAGAACTGGTGAACTTTCTAGAATAGATGGCACATTGATGAAAGGACATTATGAAGCAATATCCAAAGACATCAATCAGGGAGTTAAAACTTAGAAAAAAGTTGTCTTCTAAATGAACAGTAACCTCAAGCATACAGTGGTTACTAAATTCTACATAAACTCTTAAAATGATCATATAGCTTATGTCTAAAAGCTGCAAGATCAAAAACTGATGTGGGTTATTTTGCTAGCTGCCTGGTCAAATGTGGACAACAGGGTTGGATTTCAGGTGTGATCTCATGTATACTGGGTCAGACTGTGAACCATAACATAGATCTATGTCACAAATGTTACACTAGTCTATTTACAGCACCTTTAATAGCAAAGAGTCAGATTTACGTAGCAAAATGTATTTCACTGTAACATAAATAGTCAGTTCTATTTATTTCTCTTTAGTTATGATAAAAACATTATGTCAAAGTGTACATTAGTGCATTTGTACTATTCCCTGATTAAATTGGTGTTTTACCTGTTTAATACCCAGTAATATAACACATATTGCATTTTTGACAATTAAAAATTAATAGCAAATGTTTTTATATCTTTTCTTGGAATGGAAAGTAGTGGGTAATATAAAGTAATTTTTGAGGAGGAGGAAACAACAGCTGGATTGCTCCAGCGAAATGAAGTTAGCCGAACACAATACAATAGAGGCGTAGCAGCAAGAAAGTAAAGAAGAATACACAAGGCAGTGCAGACAGAGGAGCAACTGAATGCCTAAAACTAAAATTAGCTACGAAAGTAAATGTCAAGATGCATGAAAGCTTTTGTAATTATTCGCAGGCTGGGTGAGGGCAGAAAGCAAAGAGAACGGAAACAGACCAGAGAGCAGAAACAGGAAATGTGACAAGAGCTATTAAAGACAAAACCAAAATGATTGTTATCAAAACCCAAAGCAATAAACAAACTAAGACAAAGACTAGGCTCACTAACCAGGGAGAAATTTACTGTAAGTGACATCACAAAAAAATGAGACACAGAAAGCAGAACCTACTAAACTCTGACAGATACATTTGCTAAACATTTAGCTTTTCTATTTCTCAGCCTGAGGGAAGAACACTGGTGCCAATTTATTTGTTACCTGCTGTCTGCTCTCCTATACAGGAGCTTATCGATGCATCATGCACTGATAAAATAATTGACATTAAACCTAGGATATTCTCTCTATTTGACAGTTATGAATACTGTTAAAGTATTCATAATATTTAAATCACCAATGACTCCTTATATTTAAGGTATGTATATTGCACAGAAATACATTGATCTTGTTTTGTGAACCTAACAGCACGCAACAAAACAGAAGAACTTTTCTTTTATATCACACATATACAAGCTTCTCTTTCCAAAATCCTTCAATAAGAAAATACTAAATATTGTTGTTTCTACTGTCACCACATGCTTGCTCATTGTAGTAGATCACTGCAAAGTCGACCCAGTGTGGCCTTCTTCAAATAGACTCCGGCTGACCAAATTGTCATTATAAAATATGCTAGACTGAACTGGGACATTAATCTGATCAGTCAAATTGGTATGAAATTATGGTATTTTTCTTTATAATCATATAATTTCTTTATAAATGAAATTGATCGGGTTTTTCTTGTATAGTTCCTTGATATGACAATAATTTTGAAGTGCTTTATAAATAACCAGAATAGTATTCAGTTGGGCAACATTAACGTTTGGGCACAATGAACATTTAAAGTTTCGAGACGAGCATTGGAGACAGTGACCCAATAGATCACAGTGGAGTAATATAAAGCCAGTGCTGCTAAAAATTCTAACTTGAACCATAAAATTTGATGCTGCGTTGGTTTAAGGACCCAGAACATAATTCCCGAAGGTGATTATATTAAGAGAAAACACCAAATAGTGTTCTCTCTTTAGTCATAATGAAAGATAAAATAAAATAAACTCTTCTAATAATCTAATCCATCAGTTGTCTCCATCATGCTAAACAGGAAGAACTCTTGCTCTCTTACTTTTTTATTTATTTTTTCATTACAATACTTCTAGCACAGTTGCTGTAGAAAATAGTGAGCATTTCTTTCTAATTGTGATGGATAGAACCTTGATTTTTTTTTTTCTAGGGAAACTTGTTTCCATATTTAAATTGCCTATTTGATCACATCTACAGGTTCCACTGTATTATTTGCCTACTTCTGTTACTTTTTTATTTCTCCTTCTTCTCCAGATTTTTTGATTTGTAATAAGTCAGGATTCAAAAAGCTTTTTTCTACAAGCTTCGCTTCAGTTTGACATCAATGAACAATAAAATCCTCTTGAAAAACTTCACACTTCCTGTAGGGCTAAATGTGTGTGTCTTTTGTGAATCTATAAGTGCGCACAAGCGAGAAAGCACACACAGAGAGAGAGAGAGAGAGTCTCAGTGTGTCATTAACCAGACTGCTGAGTTTAATTCAGACTTCACAGATTTGAGCCAAACTCCAGACGGATAAAGAAACACTCAGAATGGGTATTCAGGTCATGTTCGTTGTCCTTTTCATGTTTTTAGCCACAGTGGAATCTCAAAAAGGTAAGCACCCACCAATCCTGCAACCATATTTTTACTATGAAGTTGAAATATTTTCATTTATTTGTCTGGAGGTTGAACAAATATATATTTCAGCTCTAAATATACTTTTTGCCACATGCAAATCCTTTAGCGTTTTTGATCGATCGCAGTTTTAACAGAAATAGATGTAAACATTATGGACTTAAATAACTACAGAGTTATTGATTAATTGTGTTTGTGGTTGAAGGAGGAGTCTCATTCTGGAGAAACAAAGTTACTCTGACCTGTCCACAAAACGGAACATGGATCAATAAAATGGACGCTAAAACTCTTTTAGAACCTGGTGTAACTTATGAATTCAACTACAAAGGCCAGGCCCAATATTATTGTGAATATGATAATGAAGAGGAGAAGATAAAGTACGACTTCTTCGTAAAAGGGAAGGGTGAGTAAAACCAGATTTAATTTTAAGGCTTTTATGCTCATACAGACCTAACTGTTATTTGACGGGTAACTTTTCTTCTCCAGCCTGTGATAACTGCTTTGAGGTGGATGGACTCCTGTTCATGCTGGTGATTCTCGTGGATGTGATCGGGACTGCAGTGGTGATGAGGATAATCTACGTTTGCACCAAGAGGAAACATCCAAATGCGCCGCTTCAACCCCCAAGAAGTAGGAATGAACTTAAGATCTTATCCCAATTTCTGGCCCTTGAGCCCAAGTACTCATAAAATCCTTGGAATTAATTCATATTTATTGTCTTTATTTCTTTAAGCACGTAGAACCCGGCCTCAAGCGGACCAATCTTCTGCCTATGAGGTGGGTATTGTCAGGAACCGTATTACAAAAAGTCTGTTTTGTCTGGAATTTTTCTCTTCTTGTTGAACTAAAAGAAGCATCGTTGTAGTAATATGTTGTGGTCTAATCAAATCCTCTCCTCCAATCTAAAGCTTTTTTTGGATAAGAAAAAAATTATATATTTTTGTATATATTTTCATTGCGCCCACAGCATCAAAAGGGTTGTTATTGTTATATCATGTTGTGAGAAATACACTTTGTTGTCCGGTGGTGGATGATGGATGAGAGAATTTTCATTAACTCTCTTACTTATTGCAGATGTAATTTAAAGTTACATATACAATCAAAAGAACCATTTATTTAGCTGAACCGTTTTCTTAAAGGCATAGTTTTTTGTTTTGAAAAAAAACAGGATTATGCAAAGTGTGCTTATTAGGAAAATCCTTCCATTTAGAAGAAAGCAAATTATTAATAAAATGGAAAATGTATGATAAATGAGCTGAGTCAGCACCAAGCTCAAAGATTTTACATGCAGAAGCAATTATTTCTATTAACACCAACTTGTTTTGAATTAAACTATGATATATGAAACAAATAATACTTAGTTGCAGCATAACAATGTCAGTCTTTTTGTGAGAAGCCATTATTAAAAATGCCTTTAACCCTTCAATAATTTATTATTGAGCACATTATAAAAATCCGGTTTGGTCTGAGTATGTGTGTTTGTTTGTTCTATTCAAGTTTCCATTTCTGTATTGGGTGATTTGTGAACAGTTAATTACTTCATTTTAATCATCTATTTCTTGTTTGTTTTTAACTGTAATTTATTGTTTTATTTGCACATTGCAAGAGATCCATTTTAAAACTTTTGGTTTTGGATTATGTCTCGGCAGTCACTGAACCCCAACACTCAATCGGAAACTTACTCCACTGTGGTGCACAGAATGGGGTAGACGTCCATCATCAGGAAGGTCAGAAGAAGGCAAACATTTATAAACTGATGAAATTACCAGACCTTGTAACTTCATTAAAACTGAACTTTGTAAAATTAGTTTATAATGATTAGCAATTATTTGTTTGTTCTAATGTTAAATTGCAGCTGTTCAAAAATTGTGCCGCAAATGAGTGGTGGAATTTTCAAAAGCAGGACTGAAAGTAAAAATATACAATTTCTTCATGAATATGCAATTTATCATATGTATTTCTGTAGTTAGTTTTCAGTATGTTTATGTTTTATTTTGTTTTTATTAAACTAAAAAAACATTCATTGAGAGTAAGATAGTATTTTATAGTGTCAGGGTAATGGCACACATAATTAGTTATTGAGAAACCCCTTAAAAATGTTTATAATGAAGAGCTCCACTCTCAACCTTGGATTATTTTTATATTTTCATGTACTGCAATGTTATTTCATATGCAGAAGACATTTATTTATGTAAAAAAAAAATTTGGGGAAATTTTAAAAAGATGTTTCCTGTAATCCCTGTGAACAACAAAAAACAAATAAAATACAGCTCCTTAATGTACAGTTGGTCAAACCTGTTACTCACAAAAATAGGACCAAACATAAAATTATTCGAATAAAATAATTATCCAAAGATGAAGAAATAAGATGTAAGACTCCTAGGATAATTTTGGAATCTGTTCATTTCAGAGCTAATAAAACTATTATTATTAGTGTAAAATTATGAGATCTATTTCTGATAAATGATGGAATGTGTGTTCTGAAGGCAAACTTGAACTAATCAAAAATGATTTAGTGGGATGCAATAGACAAATCAGATAGAAGAGTCATTTTGCAGACATCTTCTTTTCAATGCTGTGAAACAAAAGCTGTAAGCGTGGTACAGAGGAATCCTTCAAAGAAAATTACTTTCTTTTATTTAGGATGATGTTTAAACTGTTTGATTGAAATATTATTTTCCTTTTTATTTTGACTTTGAATTGCAACTCAGTATATTTTTTACTTTATAGCCATGTAACAACTGTAGATTTTTACATATCCTTTTATAGCTTGACGATATCACTGCTTGAATTCTATGTAAAAGTAATAAATTAGCATATTTACTGTAATATCAGTCTTTATCTACTTTTCCGTTTTTCTGTATGAAGTTGGTTATTCTGCTTTTGTCTCTTAGAAATAAAGAATTATTTGTTTTTTATTGAAAGACGGAAGTATTTTTGTTGAGTTAAACCACTAGGTGGCAGACGTGAATTAAAGGATACACCGATAAGCTTTATTTATATATTTTATGAGGATTTGGAGATTACAGCTGCACACTAACTTGCACAAACTCTTCCAAAAACTTAACTGCCAATTTTATATATTATATAAATTATATTTTCTAATGTTTTATTTTTTGCAAAGGCAATAGGAGTATATTTGAAATTTATTTTATTCAGAAAAATGGAAAAAAACAAACAAACAAACAAACAGAAAAACATTGGTAAAATACATCTGTTTGTTGCATTTTAGGTAGAGGATTTGAAGTTAGCCACTTAGTGGGTGAGATATGCCTCTAAATAGTCTGCTTATCTAGAGTGAGGTTGATAAAATGAAAAAAACATGTAAATATTTTAACTTTGAAAAATCTTCTGGCTGAACATGATTTCCAGATAAACATAATGCAGCAGACTTGAGGTGTAGCAACAAGAAAACAACTCGACGACTCAAACAAATGGTACAAAGGAGCAAACAAAATTATATCAATAGATGGCACACTTAAGAACAGGAAGAGACGATTTAACAACACAAGATTTTAACATAAAGGAATTTCTTATATTCATATGTTTCTGACATATATGATAAACTTAGTGCAATTATTTTACAGGAAATGGACTACAACAAAACATGAGTTTTTCTCTGCACACAGTACATCAGGTAGACTTTGTTTTACGGTTTGTGAATTCATCTTGAAAAAAAGGAAACACTTCCTGTGTGCATGAGTGTGTATGTGTGAGAGTGGATCTTCACTAGAGACAGTGTTAGGGAGAGAACCATCAGCTCCATTTTGAATTGTTCAGGCTTTCTGAAAAGACAGTTTCATATGAAACATATCTTTTTAGGGAGTTTTACCAATTCCATCTAAACCTAAAAAACATTCAAAATCAGACAATAAGAATTATTTAGGATGGCTGTTCAGGCTGTGTTCATTGTCATCTTCATGTTTGCGACCTCCGTGAAGGCTGAAACAGGTAAATATGGCACAATTTTATCTGATGTTGGTTTACACTGTTGGAGCATTTCAATCTCTTTCAACTGAAGACTAAAGCAGATATTGTCTCTTGACATACTATTTGTTAGCATCAACTCCATTTCCTGTGTTAATGTTCTTGGCTGCTTAAAACCCTGTGCTTACAAATTTACTATTTATTGACAGAATCTGATAATATTGTTTTTTTTTTTTTCAATTATAAGGTTTTGATTGGAACTCTTTTGAGTACAGTTCTATAAAATGATCATTTAAAGAAACAGAAAAAATCTGACGTGTAAATATTTGTATGAGAGCCTACTTCAGCTGTGATAACTTTCTGGTTCTGTGTGAGAAGTACTAAGAGGATAAAAGCTTTCGTCTATTATAAGGTTGTAAACTAAAACATATGCAAAAGTAAGTAACTTTATAACTGTACAACTGCTTAAAGGAGGAGCAACATTCTGGAGAAAGAAAGTCACACTAACCTGTCCTGGAAATGAAGATGTAACCTGGTTCAAGGGAAACCTGGATAAACCTGAAGAATCCAAACAATCTCCAAACAATGTCTCATTTACATTCACATATGAACGCCAAGTCCAATACAGATGCCAATACACGATAAATAAAAATGAAAAAGTTAATTATTATTTCTATGTCAAAGGAAAAGGTAAGTAAAAACATCTTTTCATTTTTGCCACCTGTGTTAATTAAAGGACTAACTCATGAGCCATTGCTACTTTTTCTCCATCAGCCTGTGATAAATGCTTTGAACTGGATCCAAAGTTCTTTCTGACAATCATTGTTGTGGATGTAATTGGGACCGTTGTTGTGATGATGATAATCTACAAGTGCTACAAGAAGAAAAGCTCAGATGGACAAACCCCCTCTACTAAACGTAAGGCTCTGCTTGTGTAATGCATGTCTCTTTATTAAAGTAGAAAAATTAAAAATGATTTCATTGAATCTCTTTATGTCCTCCAGCGACTCCAAGAGCTGGTCACCGGGCTCCACATGGTCCATCTGCTGAGTATGAGGTAAGTATTGTCAAAAACATTTCGCTTAATAATTTCTTATTATGTTACACTAATTTTATTATAGCGCTTGACTTTAAATTGTACATGCAGTGATATTTTATTATAAATATTATAAATTAAACAACCATATCCAAATAAGATGATTCAATCTTGTGAAACATTTTTGTCATCAGTTTGACAAAAAGAAAATAACATTTTGTTCATCACAGAGTCCCTAACATGGTGGTCACTTCAGGAGGGAAATGTTTATCTGATCCAAAAGACAGAAAATAGGAGAAAAAAAATTCTTTCCAAATTAATGCATATATGAGTGTTCTTTGTTATTTAAGATGATGTAAAGTATTTATATGTTCTTAGCAGACAAATCAATCAAATCTATACTCAGATCCTACACAAAAAATGTGGATTATTGTACTATCAGAAACTGTCCAAGCCACAAACTCATTTTTGAAAGATTCTAGTAAAGCACCTTAATATGGCATCAATTTTGCATCAGCTGGTCATTTAACAGCAAACCACACACAAGACTGCAAGACTCCTGTACAATCAAAAGACTGTCGTCAATTCTTACATGCTCAATTAGAAACCAGATCATTGTTATACGAGCACAGCTGGCCCAAAGTATAAAACACGCCAAACTGCAAAAATCACTATTACTATTACCTGAGAGTACTTGACTTCTGACAAAGACAACATATTATAAAACATTATAAATGCAGCCAAGTTCAATCAAACAAATCTACTTACATCAGAATGTACATATGACTTTTAACTACAGCCTTCATACAAGTGTTTATTTGATTAATAATATCAAGTAACTCATTAGATTCTATCATCCAGTGAATATATGGAATTTATTTCAAACTCACTAGTTAACTAAAAATGTTGTGTTAAATGTAAGCTGGGCAAGCAATTGAGAACGGCAAATTTAAAAGAAATATAAATAATGCTGGAGAGCGTTTTGGTCTAAACTCTGCTTGGGCCCCCAAACACAGTTCTGATTTGGGTCCCACATACTCCTATTGTAAGATTTATCACTTGCTCACTCAACTACTTCAAAATGTATCTTATGTACGGCATGGGCTTCAGTTCCAACATCAGAAAAGTTTATTTGATTTAACTCGTCACAACTGGATTATCTGTTGAATGTAGTGTTAAATGGCTAAGATGAATGGTTTGGCTTCATATTACATATTTTAGAAATGATTCACATTTAAAACATAAATACGTTCCAAGCAAGTTTACCAATGTAACTAGAAGCTGCTGTCTTCCACTGTAGTCTGGAAATAGGAAAATGGAAACACATAGCCAGATAAAGGTTGTAGATGTGTGATTTTGGACACACAAGGCATTTGATACAGTCAGCTGCTTGGTGGTACAGAAGAAACTAAGCAATCACAATCTGCCTGTCAGAGCAAAAAAATTACTGCTTCTCTTCTATAAATATGGGATAGAATACTATCTCTATCTCTGTAACTCTGTCTAGTGTCACGGAGATGTAAATAAAACAGTGGCAATGTATTTCACAATAACTAGAAAACAGAAGTCTGTCCCTCCCATATATGTACAACATTGTCAAAGAATATAGGGTTTATTTTGAATCCAACATTTATGTTCAAAAATCGTATTGATATATATATTTTTTGTACTTTAAAATATAGTTTGATTTAGGTGCATTTGAAATACACTGAATTACAATGTTCACTGCAAAAGTATATTAGGAAGCTGTTTCTTAGATTAATTACTTGGGGTGTAACAAAACCTAAAACTCACGAGATGAGGCATGAAAAAGATTTTATGAAAACAAGACGGAAAGAGATTTTTATATTACTTTAAAGACAACGTCCAAGACCAAATTTTGCTTTAAAATAATCTCCATTTTTGCCTCAAATTCAACCATCTGATTTTTCATGTTTTGATTTGTTTTCTTTTCTTCAAACCTCAGGACAGTTTTCACACTATGAATGGTCTGCTGTATGAGATTTCCCAGTTGTTATTGACAGAGTGGAGTGTGATTGTTCCATAGCTTAACATACCATTAGGCGTTTATCCAGCGTTTGTTATGGTGATGCTTTCTGCCTCCTTTTGCATTGAAAACAGCTGGAATACTAACATATTATCCATGTCTTGTTTGTCATTGTTGCATTTATGATTCCAACTGGAAATCCAACATGCAGCCATACAAATGATTTAAATATTAGTTTGCATATCTTCCATTCAAACTTCTTCATTCAAAGCCATAGTGACTATCACTGGCAAGTGCTTTTGAGATGGAATTTATCTCAACAAGAAATATTGTGAGATCTTGAATGGTGAGATCTTGTTACTGTAATTAATTACTGTATTTTGAGTTCTTCAGAACAAAATGAGATAACAATAAAACCTCTAAAATCTTTGTACAACCAAGCCATAAAAGCGGTAGATAAAAAGTCACTGAGATACCATCACTGTAAAATCTTAGTAAGATATAAAACTTTAACAATTTAATTACGCATTCTAATGGGAGGCTTGTTTTCAAATTATGATTACTGCTCCACCACTGAAACCCAAGTGTTTTTCAGAATCTGCACACACAACCTTCTTAATCCAAGGCATTTAAGAATTGAATAAACTCCAAAAAAGTTTAAAACTCTCTGCTGACCTGAGGACTTTTCTCATGTTAGGAAAGTGCTATTAGAAAACTAGCAGAGCCAGAACTGAAAATAAAACTGTAATTACACAATTTAGCACCGTCTTTATTGTGATAATTTTACGACTTGGACAGTGATTGTTAATAGGGTGTGTGTGATAATTGAATGTATGTTGTATGATTTTAGATTGATTTTATTAACTTACGTGCTCAGGGATAGCAGAAAGAAGCTATTTTAAGCTAAATCTGGTGCACAGTACCATTGCCTTCCTGCGCTATTCCGTTCGATTCAATTCTCGCTAAGCGCAGACCAAAGTGCTAGTTTATGGGGGAATTTTTCTGCCATAATTTGAAAGCACACATTTTAGCATCTTTCATTAATGTTTTTGTTGTACATCGTCTCCGTCAGATTAATACATTTATTTTGAAAATTACTGTGATCAAACCATGTTACAAAATGTTTTCTGTTTTTTTACAGACACTCAACCCAAACACTCGATCACAGGACACCTACTCTACTGTTGTGAACAGTGGTATGGTGCACAGGACTGGATAGAGACGTCTCGCATCTCCTCTATAATTCTAAAACTCCTTACATACATCCTCACAGATTTTAATTTTGCTTTATTTCAAATTCCAAATTTATCAAAAGTATAGCGTCATACTGAAAAGCAGAAATGTGGAGTCCTTGTATATTACGCCAGCTTGAAATCATTTTTTATGGTTTCAAAACAAACGCGACCTTAAAACATTAAAACAAAAGCAATAAACATTGTTGGTAGTTGACACAAACCATTTCATTCTACTTGTTTATTAAAACAGTTTATACAGTATAAGTGAAAGAATAATTTATGGCAGGTGGGTTAAAAACTAAGTTAATATGTTATACAGTAATGATTTTAAAAAGTACATCTTTAGTTCTATGTATCTGGGAGTTTTATCAGGGATTTTTTCTATTAATTTACATTCGGTTTATTTACATGGCACAACTCATGTCTCAAGGAAATTTACAAAGACAAAAACAGCTCGAGATAAATGTAAAATATGTTTCAAACTAGCAAAGAACAGAAAGTTCATATATTGTATGTAAACTTTAGAAAGTACGAAGGTGAACTGGTTTAATTTTTACCACTAATTAGAACCTTCATTGTTACCAATTAAGGGCATCTTGCCGCTCTATATTATACATATTATGCTTTGAATATTCAAACTTTTTATTAGCTTTAATAACATGTATGATCAAACTCAAACAGTTATTTGCTGTATTGTTTTTTCTAACTGTATTTGTGCTTTTACTAATGTTTATATTACACAAGCAGCAAATTTTGTCAGCTGTTTTATTTCATTCTCTTTTTTCTTTTTCTTTTTTTTCTCTGTATTAAGTGTCTCTAATTGAAATAAACATGGCTAAACCTCTTCTCAGTTTTCTTTCTGTGTACGGTTAGAAATGATACTGCAGTGGCTCAACAGATAAACCGTGTGATTCATGAGGCGGATTCAAATCCGCATGTCATATCCGCAGTACACCACCTAAAGAACACAATAACCACCAGTGTCTCTTCGTTTCTCTTCATGTCGCATGTAAGACAGACGGAATGGAAACATTCAACAAGTCTCTGTATATTTCACATTATCAGAGATAGGATGGAAAGGTTGTGTCACATGATGTTTTCTGTTTGTTCTTCCCAGCAGTGACAGAGAGCAGTTATACTAAATGGAAATGAAAGCATGAAATGTGATGCAATAGTTCTCTGAAATGTAGATTTTTATTGATCACTACATTTATTGTAAAGCAGCTCATTTTGTATTGCTTTGTGGAAACACTCCACCTCTTACTGCTCAGTTATCTTCATTTACATCTGCTGCTTTTTGTGTGACAATGTAGAAATCTAAACGATGGTTTACTCTGTGACATGGTGTCAAGTCAAACCGCTCCCACACACAGACCTACATCTGCTCATCTGCCTGTGTCACAGAACATCCGTGCACCAGTGAAGATTCTCGTGTTCAAAGTATATGAGTGTGTGTGTGTGTGCGTGCAAGTGTGTGTGTGTGTGTGGGGGGGGGGGGGGGGGGGGGGGGGGGGGGGTGTGTGTGTGTTTGTGTGCATGCTTTCAGGTAGAAGTTGGTTCGGTATGAGTGCGTGTGGGGGATGATCAGGGTTTGGTTTACTCAGCTCAGCTGTATGAAGCCTTCTCTCACTTCCGGTTAAATGTAAAGAAAAAAAAGATGCATTTGTTACCAGGCTGGAAGCTGACATGCTTTATTTTATCCTCCTCATTTTATCCTGATGATTTTCCTCCTTCAGGAGTTCCAGACTACTGAACTAAACCTATAATGACGTTAATTTATCTTTTTCAGAAGCTTCTTCTGAAATCAGCTAGTTGGTAAAGCCCTCTCCTCAGTTTCCTGTCCTTGCTGTGGTAGTACAGTCTGCTTATTAGCATTTACTATTGTTCTTATATTAATACATGTTGTATATCTCCCTTATTTCTCTAAATGTAAACCCAAAACCTAAACAAGGCTTTCTGATCAGATGCCATTAATCTTTTTTCATAAAAATGTTTTTGTGGGTCTAGTTACTTTTATTCATCAGTAGTGAAACAGGAAGAAGGGGAAGACATGTAATAGATAGCACAGGATTCAAACTGTTGAAAAGTAAGTTGAGGACTATAACCAAATGTACATGGTGCACCTGTTCTGGCACTGAATCATATGTCTTAAAGTTATTTAAAATATACAAGTAGTAATTCTCTAATTGTTTTGTGATCATGGTATCTTAAAAATGTAAACTTTAAAACACACTGAACAATGCTGGAAAGCATTTAGAAGTTTGAACAATTCAATTAGCATCAATTTGAACATAACTCCATTAAGAGTCTTTATTGTTTGGGTTCAAACATGTTCAAAAGGAAAGATCGGTTGTGACTCACCATTTTTTCCACAGTTAATCAAAGTTAGAAGAAAATTATTATAAATTACAAGAATCTTCATGAGAACACAGTGAACATTTAAGAAAAACAACACCAAAATGTTCATAGTTTGAAACACTATATGGTTTAATACACCATATATGTAGATAAAAGGAATAGATTCAACAATTTGCAGTTTGTTTCTTCAATTTACAATGAAAAAAATGTCCTTATTGGGGGATGGGGTGAGGGGGATTTGGAAGCAGACGGATCAGGGATAATGTTTTGGAAAAGTCTCAATTAAAAAAAAAAAAAGCTTTGACAATTTTAAGAATATTTTCAGTCCATCATACAAGAACTGGATGATTTCAGCCCGTCAGTAAACCTTCCACAACATGACAAACCACCTAAACTGATAAGCAGTGAGAGAATAGCATTAATTGAAAAAGCTACAATGATCTATACAAATATGTAAGAACTGTCATCTATCACAGGAACTGTTATGGAAAATGGAAAAGAAAATCCCCCTGATGACAAGGTCAAAACTGAACTTTGTGTTCCACATGCAAAACACAAAGTTTTACAGAAAACTAATCCTGCACATCACCCTGACCATCCCTACAATGAAACATGGTTGTGGCCCTTAAAGCAGCTCAGAGTTTATATAAAGAAGGATAGAAGTAAATAAAGGTCAGTGCTAAAATCCACAGGTGGTTCATATCGAATCTGACAAAACTTGAGCAAATGATTTAGTTTCTGGCTGGTGGAGACATACCAAAATACACTTGCAGCTAAAACCCCAGGATAAGATAATTTTACAAAGTACGGACTCAACAAGGCTGAAAACAAATACACATTTTTTTATTTGTAATTTTCCTTCCACAATCATTTATTATTTTTGTTGATCTTTCATGAGGAAACCAAAATGAAAAGACAAAGCATTATAAAACAAGCAATAAAACAAGAATAGATAATGTAATTTAAATAAGCCTGTTTAAAACTTGCAGTCTAATAATAAACAACTGAAGTATGTTTAAAACAAAGCAATAATAGTACACTTTATTTGACCAGCAAGAAATATTTACCTAATTTCAAATGTTACTATTCACCAACTTTTTTATTTTTGAAACATGAATGTAACTTAACCCTCTCAAGCTCTAATTACTTGAAAAGACTGGATAATTTATTGCAAATCTGCACCTGTCTGGAGAGGGTTAAGAAGTTTTTCATCAGTAACAAAAATCAACTTGGAACTAAATATTTTACATTAGCTGACATACTGAGTTCGTCAAAGGGGCCAGAAAGAGACCCATGTTCAAAGCATCATAAATGACAAATAGAAATCATTTTAAAGACAATGCCAAACACAGCAAATTACATCAGTACAACACGTAAAACACTGTCCTGATGGAGACTCAGGAAGCAGTGCTGGATGTTTCCTCCAGTAGAAGTTTGCTTGAAGTCGAGAGTTAGCATAGACCTCCATTCTACTTTCTGTTGAGTACATCATATTCATCTCTTCCTTTCTTGTACTTCAGTGGCTGAAACAGTAATGGCCACAGTGAATTTAGGGGTAGCAATGATAGGCAGATAATTACAGGGTTTTTTTCAAGCGCTTTGGGACATTTCTCTAATCAGAATTGCAGTTCTCATAGCTGTTAGCTCAACCGCTGCAGCATTTAGTCATTTGTGTTCACAGAAATAGTTTGTCGTCCATTCAAAGAAATTGCATGTTTTTGCACATCCATTAATTGTCTACATACACTCATTTTGCACTTTCTCAAGTGCATATGTTATCTCTGTCAAAGCCAACTATAGTCCCCTATAACTGGATGCTTAGGCCAGCTCCTCTGGAGAAACAGAGACAATGTGGAGGCATCCAACTAGATGCCAAAGTCTGCTCTCAAAGAGGAGGAGCAGCAGTTCACATCACACATTTTTGACTTGTGCCACCTTTAAAGGAGAGCACAGACCCCCTGTGAAAGAACTCGTTTGGGCTGATTGTATCTGCAATCTCACTGTTTCTGTTACTACCTGGAGTATACGCCGTAACTGAATTGTGAAGCATCAATTCAGTGTCTTGTACTCAGTTAACAAAATACAATAATGCTAGATTTCAAATGGATATGCAAATAATCTCAGGTATTGTTATGAGGTATTGTTACCAGGATCAGGTAGTTTTGCATTGGAAAATGAAAGATGAGATGTCATAATGTTGATATTTGCCAGTCTTGTTCACAAACATAGTGTCTGACTTTTCATTTTATTGATAATACTTTCATTGACACAAATACTTACTTTACAGGAATGTATTATCCATTTTTAGCAAGTGTCAAACATTTGCAGGTTATCAACTCGGTTTTGCACTTTGTACTAATTGTTTTGAGAAATGCACCAAAAGCACCTGAAAAATACTGTAAAAAATGAAGAAAAAACTCACCTGGTAGCTGGGGTCACTGGGCGCACTGGGCACTTCATTATGAATCAGATTTTGTTTGTCAGACCCTGAGGAGGAAAATTATAATAGTGATCAAACATTACAAAGAAGTTTTAATCTGATTAAACTTAAAGTTCTAATGCAAGCGGGTAGGCTGATTTCAACAGACACTGGATTCTGTGACTACTTGGTGTCCCAGATACATATTATAGTAGGTGATCCATACAATATGAGTTTTATGATTCTGTGGGGTGGGTGACAATTAACTGTACCTTAAACTGTTTGACTTCTGCTAAACTTACATAAATGGTGGTGTTCTGTTTCTACATGGCTGTTATAGCATCTATTTTAAATGTCTTTTTTTTTCAGTCAAAACAATTTTGTGTTCAAAAAGGTAAACAAAAAAGAAAGTTTCTGTTTAGCCCAATAGTCACAATTGCAAGTCCTGAAAGTGTCATATCTAATTAACATCTGTTGCATAAAAATGTGCTGAAACCAAAATTTATTGACTAGAGGACAAAATGCCAGAAGAAGAAAAAAACTAGTTCTTTATGTTTTTATATGACTTGAAGCTTTTTCAGTCTTATTGTGCTATAGTAATACGTTTGTGGGTCATTCTCTGCAAATTGGTGTAAATGACATGTATAAATGACCCAAAGCACCTGCTCATTCCAACATCAGCCTGCAAGCTGTTGTTGGAATGAGCTTGCAATGGGCTGTTACGTTGGTATATAACGTAACAGAGTCTGAATCTTGTACCACTAAAGAATGCTTTTTCTCAAAGACAGTTTCATTAAGAATTAATAGAACCTAACTGTTTTAACCTTGCACAAGTAAGTGCAAGGTTAAAACAGTTAACCTTGACCCTCAGAGAAAAAAAGATAGAGAAAAAAAAACTGGATCAGTATCCTGTTTCAGTAATGTGTGTATGGTACTACAAATGGAAAATAAAAGACTTTTAGGTAGAGTTTTACTTTTCTTGGTGGATTTAACTTGACCAGCCCGAGCTTGAGAAGCAAGGAGATAGACAGCTACTCCAACCACAACAGTAGCCACAACGTCTCCTACTGCCAGGCCCACAATAGAGGAGACATCAAGTTCTACACAGTTGTCGCACGCTGAAAATAAGCAAAGTAATCTCTTAAACAGTGGTATCTTCACCGGTTTTCCAAGCATGATAAAATGTAAATTATATATGGATATAAAATTGCACATTCTTATATATAAAATCACTTTCATCCCACAAAAAACTTTGGGAGAAACACTTTATGTAGAACTTACTCCGAAATTTTACGTAGATTTTTGAGTTTTCACTACACTTGTATTCTCCAGATTTATCGTCACGGTAATCCAACATAAATTCTCGCTGACTCTTGCCCTTTTCTTCAACCTCAGTATTGCCATTACAAGTCAGCTTGATTCCATCTGCAGTCTCCTGAACTTTTATCTCATTATCTGCTGTTTAACAGAAGAAACTTTCAGTTAAACACAAGCTTTGGTCAATCAGTATTTGTAGAAATGTTTTTAGATGCACATGATTTTAAAATAATTTTGGATTTTTACACGTAATTATGTTCTTACCTCCTGTAGCCTGATCAAAGCTAACTGCTGAAAGACAAAGATGAAAACAAACATGAATAAATATTGAATGAACCTGACCAATTACATATCACAATAATAATAAAAAACTCAACAAGAATGTAAATCTCCACTAAAAACAAAAACGCAATCTGGTCTTTTTTATGGTCCTGTATTTTAAATATTTTAGGCAACAAAGAGATAGTTGTAATAAAGACCTTGCTGTTGAAAGTGCAAAAAATAGTTCTAAACTAAACTAAGTAAAAACTTCAAGGTATACAAATTGTACATATGCATCTCATGCTTTTAATATACCTTCCATTGGAGCTCAACTAATGGTATTAAAAAAGAAATGACCACCCCAGACTAATCTGACACAGATATTTATCAGACAAATACTCAAGCGAAATGTTATTGTAAGTTTGCTCACATAATTAAAATTTATATCCAGTTAGAGAATACACAAAAAAGGGATTTACTGATCAAACAATAGTCATTATGTACAAGGATATAAAAAAAAAAAAAAAACATACAAATATCTTTTACAACAATTATCCATTAAAATTCTTAAACAGGTAGAACAAGCTAAAACAGTGACATGAGACCAAAAAATTATTTTTGTTGTTAATGCAACTACATTTTTGGGTACTGTTACAAAATGTCCTTTTTCTACTACAGCTCAAGTATGGCGGTGGCACTATTATGGTGTGAGGAATTTTCTTCACACGACCTGAAAAATTGCTAGCAATTATAAATTAAATTACTTGCGTAAAGGATAAAAGAAGAATTCTTGAGTGTTCCAGAGACTCTAAATTTTAGGAGGCGAGAAAGGGGCATTTGTGTGGTTCCCAAATGCCCGATACATATAAACTCAGCAAGCAGAGGTAGTTCATGAAGGTAGATGAGAATTTTGTTATTATTATTAAAGCCAGGTTTGTACTGATTAGCTGAAATCTTCTGAAGATGGAAAATATTAGGTACAGTAGAAAAGTTTCCAATGTCAAAACATGTGATTTGAGAAAATTTAACATAACTGACTGCAGTCATAATTTTGTGGCTGCAGTCTGCCAGCAGGGAGAATTATTCAGACCTATTTTAATTGGGCAGGATTTTTAGAGTCAATTGGCTACAACTGGGGTCAGGACTACAATCAATTAAAATAGGGTGTCATAAAAAGTCCTCATAATTATTTTCATCCATCCATCCATTTTCTAATCACCCTTCTCCCTAATGGGGTTGGGAGGTGCTGGTGCCTATCTCCAGCTGCGTTCTGACTGAGTGGCGGGGTTCACCCTGGACAGGTCACCAGTCTGTCACAGGGCAACACAGAGACAAGCAGTTCAACCATACACACACACACTCATACCTAGGGAGAATTTGGAAAGACTAGTAAACCTAACAGTCATGTTTTTTGGACTGTGGGAGGAAGCCGGAGAACCCGGAGAGAACCCACGCATGCACAGGGAGAACATGCAAACTCCATGCAGAAAGACCCCGGGCCGGGAATCGAACCCAGGACCTTCTTGATGCAAGGCAACAGTGTTACCAACTGTGCCACTGTGCAGCACCCTCATGATTAGTTTTTAAAAATAAACATTATATTTAAGAGGTGAGTATTTTTATGGACATTTTTTCACACTTGTAAGACAGTACTTAGCGACAGAGTCTGTGAAGAAGTACACAGATATATGAAATTGATTGGCTACAGGGTATGAAAGGGAATAAGAATAGATCAAAATAGCTTGTTTTTGATTTGGCTATAAGAGTTAATAAGCTGATCCACAATCTTTTCCACACACCATTCCTGTTGTTTATTTGAGTAATATGATTTTTAAAAACTTTATCAAATGTGATAACTATTTATCGAATGATATGAGTCCTAAAATATTACTTATTAATTGCATTGAGTTTGCATATAAAACCACTATAATTATGACAAATTCAAGACTTATTTCTCCTTCTGAGTTAGAGTGGTGACTATTATAATTAATATTATGTACATAAAGTATACAAGCAGAACAAGAAAGCATTACATAGAACATTATATACATAGTTTTCTCTTCCTTTGAGAGATAGCTGCCTCATTTTCTATCAATGACAAACTTTTCGATTGAGGAAAAAATATTTTATGGTTTTAACAATTTTGAGGTTAACTGTGTGGTCGAATGTGTCTTACTGATTTTAGATGATCAGAAAGAAGTACTTGAGACAGATTGCAATAAAGACTGCGATAAATTGCGGTCACAACTTCTTACTCTAATCAACAATGTTAGGTGTTATTTTGGTTCATTAAGAGTAAAAACAATAAGAAAAACATACCTGCCAGAAGAGAAAGAAGCAGCAGCTGATATTTCATTGTGTTGTACCTGCTGGCTGCTTTTCTAAAGAGAGAAGGAAACACAGAGGCATCAGCGAGCGCATTTCAGAAACCTGGAAGGCTGCCATTTTCTGACTCTCGTCGACCATTTTATTTTGCTTAACTTAACGACTAGCAGAAAATTAAGAACTTATTGCTGCTGCTGTCAGATTAATATTTCATTTGATCCACCGTTCCAGGCCTTAGTTTGCTTTAGAGTTAGATGGGTTTAGACAAAGATAAATTAATAGAAGTAATAAATCAACACACTTTTGGAGTTTTAACAGAAGTACTCAAAACATGAGATAAATATAAAATGTAATTCTGACACAAATTGAAACAAAAATACTAACCTTGATCTAATGAAGTGCTGGGTCTCTGCTGAAAGATTTAGTTTCTGCCTTAAGTCAGAACGTCTCCGTTTGCCTGTTTGAGAGGGAGAAGGAAGTCACTGTGATTGGTTTGTCAGCTTCATCAGGCTTTGTTGATTTTATCAGAAACACTCCATCATTTCTGCATGCATTTGCCGTCAAAATCAGCTCATGAAACACTGGAAAAGGTTTTGTGGCAAGTAATATTGGCACTATTTAGCAGATTGTCCTGGTTGTTGCTGTTATTTGAATAAAATCATAATTAAGGAATTGCTAATTCATTCCAAAATCCACTTGAGGCTTATATTTATGAGATATAATAAATCTAAGTCTTGCAAGTACTTGTTTTATCCTCCACAATTATAAATATTATTTTCTTAACAATTTGATAAACTAAACAAAAAAAGATACTAACTTGCTAATTGCAGCACAGTTACTTGGAACAATAAGTCTCTACATATGGTGAAACAAAGAATCTAACACAGTCACACAGTTTATATGAATATTTCAAATCCCCTGCATATTGCGAGTGTTTCCCTCATCAATGACAGTCTACCTCCCTGTTCAAAACTGGAGCTCTAGCAGACACATAAAGAGAGCAAATGTACGCTCCCACAACATGATTCTGCTTCCTTTTTGTAAAAGAAACCACAGCAACCTGTGACCCAAGAGCTAACACCTGGCACATACACAAACATTGTGTGTCTTTCTAAACACACAGACTCACGTACACTTACTCCCCCCACCACACACACAATCATCAATATCATCCTCTCTTGCACCTGTGTTAGAAAAACAAAGTGGATCGTTTCATTTTACCAAACAAAACTGACACTTTCTGCTAACAGACTGTTAAAAAAATGTTACATTCCTTACTGTGCACAACCCAGTTACCGACTTTTACACCACTTCATAGCGCCCCCTGGTGATTACACAGTAAAAGCACAGCATGTTCATAATTTATTTTGATACAATCTCAATAATACCTTTATTAGACTTTTTTATACACATATACATACAAATATACAGGGCGGGACATGTGGCAAGTCCATAAACAGTTCCACTTAAATCTGCACCACCATATTCAGATTATATTTGTCCAAATAAACATTCTTGGTCTCAGAAGAGAACATTAAATGCATCCCATTAATGCAACAAGAAAGAACATCATGATAAAGAAGAGCTAGGTGATAAAGACAACAGCAGCACAGACACCTGAGTACCTGATTTACTGGATGACAAACATTCACAGGTATGTTTTACAGATTTGAAGAATAATCTCAAAAATCTAGGTGCTCTCTGAACTTTATTTCCAGCTTGAAGGTGACTGAACAGTGCTTGACTCGCTGATTGGTGCAGCTCTGGGTTTCTTCCCTAACAGCTGCATTCTTAGATGTAGGTATGCATGCAACAAACATTTGGAGTCAAACTGAAATGTCCGTCAGAGCCAGATTTCCTCGCTGCTTGTGCTGTTCACCTTATAGATGTAGCCCACCATCGGATACCTGGCAAAACCTGGAAGCACCACAGAAAAATAAAAACATAAATAAGCCATGACTCCAGGTATAAATAGCTAAAAAAGCAGCAGAGGTTCAGAGGGCATTTTGTTGACCTCTTGCTGCGTAGGCTAAAGACAGATCTTCCTCCTCCTCTTCCCCTTTCTTCTCCTCTCCCACACTGTTCTGCTGGGCGGCTTCTCGAGCTATAAGAAGGGCAGGCAGAGAGAGAGTGACACAGAAAAACAAAAACATGCATTAGTATTTTGAAGAAATGATTTCAGCTAGAAAACAGTGACTATACAATAAGTTGTTTCTTTTGCACTGTATTGTGCATTATATTATATTTATAGCTACACATAAAATTCAAACTTTTATCTTTATGTCATGCTGATCTATGAAATACATGTGGGAAAGCTGTAATGAGTTCTGTCAGTGTTTAAGTGTGTGCAAAAGAGGGCTAGCTGGTTAGTCCTCTAGGAGGAAAGTATGTATGTGTGTAAATAACTCTTAATAAATTGCCACACTTGGTTTCTACTGCCTTGCACATTCATACATACATTTTTATATTCACTCTACTTTTAGTTATGTAAAAGTTAGGTCATCTAAAATTTATCTTTGAGTGATCTAAGTCACACACAGAATTTCATGAGCTGAACTAACATGTGCAGTAACATGCAAAATTAACCGTATCTCCACAAATTTCAATATATATCATTAGGACCAACACAAGCTAATACATAATTGTGACACATGCTTTGTTTCGTCTTCAGTGAAAATATAAAAAATATCTTTGCATTAGCTTTTACGTGAACTTCCTTCCAAAAATTTGGAGAGATGGAATTCATTGTTATAAATAATGATTTTAAAACTTTTAAACTACATTTATGTTCAATGTCTTAACACTTTAACATTTTTCTCTTACAATCAACAACTGTCTCTGTAGTTACACATTATTCCTTAGGAAGAATCACTCTAAACGTATTTATTTCTATTTAAACCACTCTTCTATCCCTGGAAGGTGTAACAATACAGACAATAATAACTTATAACCTCTGGCCAAATGCGTCTTTGCAAAATATGTTTGCACATTCTTGCGCTGGAGGAAGCTCTTACCTTTCCTCAGAGTGCTGAGGTCATGGAGCTGCATGTTGGAAGGCAGAGACATGTTCTCTCTGGGAATGTTGGTCTTATCTGTCCTGTCTGTCTTCAGGTTTGCTGATTCACTGTGGGGTAACATAGAGAGGTGTCAAACTTGGATCAGAGGTGATATTGATCTCCTGAGTGAACGTACTTTTCTTAAGAGCAGAAAAATATGCTTTCATCAGTTTCCCTTCCATTGAGCTAATGGAGGAAGACATGACATGGCATAAAGGTGAGCCAAAATATAGAGACATAGACAGGCCAGATGTCCTTAGTGTAGCACAAAGAGACTGGTGAGGCTGCAGCTACATTTTATCATAAATAATGTTGGGTATAAAGTATACTTAATGCAAAACATTATTTAATACACATGTCTTTAAGAAGTATGTGAAATGTGTGTGAAAAGTGAAATTATGTTGAGACTCTAAAAAAATCAGAAAACATTTTTATAAATATAGATTAAGCTCTTTTCATATTGGATGAGTGGGTAAATATTTTTGGCACCACAGCTGTTTTTCTAAAGAAATATTTACTCCTAAAATAGTAGAAAATAGAAAAGCTCAGAAGAGGTTTGTTTTTGCTAATTCAGTGTATTGCTTATATTCATGTCTAGAAATTTAAAAAGGTAGATGTAAATAAATTATTTACAGTTGCTTTTTTACCTTTTCTTAGTCATCAGAATCTCCACTGGTTCATCTGTAACAAAACACAGAGGAAATGGATGATTACGTGCTGCACCTCTCTCAAAGCTCCATGCCACAAACATTTTCCTGCTTAAAAAATACACATGCATACATTATTCTCACCAATAATCTTGCTCTTGTTTTTTTGCATAAGGCAGAGAACAATTAGACTGAGGATGAGGAGGACCATGAAGGCCATGGCTCCCCCAGTCACGATACCCAGCATGGGAACCTCGACACGAGACTGCAGGAACTCTGGAGGGCAGAGGAGAGGAACTTAAAGGAAAGTTTTACAGAACATTTTGCAATGCAGCTACGATCAACTAGCTCACAAAAGTAATTTCACCACAATTAGTGCCAGAAGGGTCTAAAACAAATAATGAGAGTTTAAGATATCCCAGAATGACGACATATTTAAATACATTTAGAGAAGCTTAAATGATAAGGCATTCCTGAGATGATTTTTCTACGTAGTTAGACTGTTACACCTGATTCTGGAACCCTTACAAAGAGCTCGTATTGTGCTGCCTAAGAGAACACACACGTAATCTGAAACCTGGGGTTTTCTACAATTACACTAAGTAAAAGGGTTTCTGAATTGCCAAGAATCGCAGCTCTGAGCATGGCTAAATGAGCTTTATCACTGCAGTGGTATCACTGGAAGAATATGCTATGCAGTTTAATTCAGCTACTTTATCAAGAAATTCAAGGTATATATTATATTTCAAACATGTGTATTAATATTGAGTTACAAGAGCATTTGTCTAAATTCCCGTTTGGGAGCCAAAATAATTGTTTTAATGTTCTTATATTAATGTATATAAATAATAACATTTTGAGGCTATTTTTTGTATGGATGAATACATTTGTAGAAAGGATGCACCCCAAATAATAAAATTTTATTTATTTTTGAAAGACTTGCATCTTAAATCATGCACTGCTGGCACAGATGAGAAATTTATGACTTTAGAAATGCCACAAAATGAATGGACAAAAGTCTTTCCTTTCATGGAAACAATCACTAACCTGCCAGTGTGAGGTTGCTCTGAGCCATTCCAACACTGTTGGTGGCATTCACCGTCAAGTTCCCTGATAGACTGCTCAGTGTGACCCTCAGCGTGTGATTGGTCAGCCACGGGTAGCTCCGTGAATCCAGGATGAGGAAGTCCGAGGTATTGGCCACCAGCTGGCCCGACTGGTCTACGAAGGTGATGGTGGCAGGAGGGTTAGAGCGCACCAAGGCGAACAGGACCAGAGAAAGACCAGGGTCTGAGGTTTCACTGTAGTGGGCGTTGACCCTGAGGATTTCTGGCTGGACTGGAGAGGAATGGCTTGATAATGTCAACTGAAACAGACTTTTTTAGTCCATGAGATATTTAACCCAGACTCACATTGGACATTGAGAGTGACTGTTGCATTGTAGCTTTGTCCTGTCCTGGGGTTTGATGCGACACACACCAGCTCCTTGTCCCACTTTCTGGCCCGCAGAGAGAAGGTACTGTTGTGATTGGTCCCTGGTCTTAAAACCTCAGAATCCTTTTGTGACGTCATCACCAGACGGCCTCGGTTTGGCGGCGGCTCCTTCTGCTGTTTTCCGTTGAGGTACCAGGTCAGTAATGGGGGCGCTCGAGGATCCCAGCCATCTGATTGGCAGTTGAACTTGTGTGTCATGTTCTCCTGAAGTGTCACAGCCGCTTGCTGCCGCCCATCAATTTTAAGAGCGGGTTCAATAGCACCTGAGACACAATACAAGAAAATATAGCAGAACCAAATATAGTCAATGGAAATATTAAAGCTTTAGATTCCTAAAATGTTAAAGGTTAATTTGGTCCTGTGTTAGACAGTAGTAAAAAATATCAACATTGTTTGATTACAGACTCATTATTTTTTAAGAGGAGCTTTTAGTTGAACTAAACACTTTTCTTTCTGTCTGAAATACAGACAGAAACACCTTGCGGTTTGATTAGCCAATAGATCACAGTACAGGTCTCATGTAGCTCCAAATTAATATAACTTCAAGAGGTGTGATTCACTTGATTA